TCTACTTTCTTTTTTTGGTTTGTCTTCTCACCTACTAAATATAAGTGGTCCCTGGAGTTCTGTCATCTGCCCTCTTCTCTCTCTCTCTACTCAACCCCTAGGATATATGTCCAGCCCTCACGTTCTGTGGGGAAGCCTTCCAAATCTATCTGTAGGCCCAAACTTGAATCTCTTGTGTGAGAGACCCTTGTGGACATCTCCCTGTGGTTAGCTTTGAGTACTTCATACTCAGTATGCTCTAAGTTGAAAGTGTCATCTTCAAATATTTTCTTCCTCCCTGCTGTTATTTTATAATACTACTGTGCCCTCAGTAACCCAAGAGTAATACAGTAGTATTATTTTTAATTTATTTTTCCCCCTCGCTTCTACCTTCTATCTGGTCAATTGCAAAGTCCTAATAGCATGTCTCTGCAATTTCTTTCACAGCCCCCTTCCTCAGTTTCACTAGTTCCAGATTTTTTTTCACCTCTTGCCTAAAATATATAGTCCTCTTAACTGATTGCTCAACCTTTAATCTTCCCCATTTACCGTCTGTTACATACTTATTAACACAAATGTGGCATCAGCAGACCTAGGCTCAAATCTTGGGAGTTTAGGTATTTAATAACTGTGTTACTTTGGGCAAATAAGTGTACCATCCTGCATTTCGTTTATAAATTAAGGATTTGGATTTTTAAATGAGATGCTGTGTAATAGATGGCAGTTGAATGAGCACCCAGTCACAGATTCTTAGGAAACCTTCCACATACCCCTCAGTAGCTCTCATAACCCCTTGATAAGTTTAAGAACAAATCCTGAGGTAATAATTATTTTCTGAATAAAGCATAAATTTATTGTCTTGGCATTCAAGAGCCTTGGCCAACTCGCCTTGATGTACTTACCATCCTGAGCTCTCATTTTCCCCTTTCCTACATCCTGCACCTAAGTCACACTGAGCTAGAATTTCCTCCTTTAGGGTCCCATACTTTCCTGCCTCTGGCCCTTACTTAGAAGTGCTTGTCTTCACCATCTCTGTATATGCAATGAGTAAATGGGATTCCCTCCACAAAACCTCCCGTGACTCCCCTCGCCTTCCTTCCTCCCATCCTTCTGTCATTTCTTTTCTAACTTGCAAAACTCCATGCTTTTGTCATCACTAATGTTTTGGTGCCCATTAGTGTCTAAAAGAGGGATTAATACACTGTGTTTTGGAAAGTATACTAGCAGGAAAGGGCTCACAGGGGTCATGAGAGTTCTTGTAGAGTATGTGGAAAGTTTTCTCATTGATTTGGGAATGCATGTAATCTCAAATAGCATCAAAATGCCATTTAAAACAAGCTTCTTACCATGCTATATTGCTTTATGAGCCACTCTGTAGCCATCTTTATAATAATGAAAGTGCTAAAGGATGGTAGTGACTGAACCCCAACAGGTACAGACTAATACTGAGGAGTTTCCACTTGCCACTAAATAATTCATGTAAAGCCTAGACATCCTAAGATGAAAGGCATTTTGTAGATTTAAAGTGTGCAAGATCCAACCAGTCCTCTCTATCCTCCTCTGCTCAGAATTAATCCTCCGAGAGAGAGAACACCCATCAAGGATACTGAAGAAGTTCTGCCCCTGGATAAAAAGGCAATATAGAATCTAAGGAAGTATGGCTCTAGGGTCTTCCAGTTGTCCAAGAGAGCTGGTGGTTTAGGTCTGGAGCAGATGAGGGCAAAGTACCACGTCCATACTTGGAAAGGGAGCTGTGTTGGGGTGTGAGGAGACTCCATCTGGCTGTCTTTCATTAGGAAGACAACAGGAAGAAGCAGGAAGGGCCAGATTATCCTTTCTTCTAAATTTACTGAAGGAAAATCTGACGCCCAATTCTGTTCTTAGGAATTTGAAATGAGTAGAAAATTCTTTGAACTCTGTAATCAGCTAACTGAAAACTAATTTGAAATTTGACTTCAGCACATATATTTGTGGTTGCAGGGGTGGGGGAAGCATCTGAAGAGGTTCTCTGGAGCTCCCTGTATTTCCCTTTCAAAAAGTTTATGCCCAGCATGTGAAATGAACAGATGCTTTTTTTGTTGTTGTTGGAGCTGTCAGAGTAACAAGAGGCTGAAAGCTGTATCAGGTATTTATTTCAGTTACTGAGATGGTTATTGGCAGAGTTCCACATACCAGAACTAAGGCGAGACTCATGAACAGATAAAATAAATAAATAAATAAGACACGGAGGAAAGAGACCTTGTGCTGCTCCTCTTGATTTCTTTCCAAACACATACTGATTATGAGAAAGGCAAGAAGCACTGAGAAAGTACTCTTTGGCTAGATTTTTTTTTTTTTTTTTTTTTTTTGAGGGAGGAGGCAGAATTGGTCTACTTTACGTAATCTCTAGGCTGTGTTTGAACTTTCGTGGGCGGGGGGGAGGTTCTGTAATTCCTAATACCTTTATCAGAATGTGACTAAAGCTGGTATGTAATTTAAACCTGAGCTTAATAGTTGCTGAAATGCTCCATTTATGTATTTATTTATAGTATGCAGTATTGGTGAGAATGAAGTCGATAGGTGTGGGGAGGGATTAATTAAGAAAAAACTGAATTCATTGGCACTCGACTTGGTGAGGAAACAAGAAAAGAATTCTGGCCATGAAGTTTGCAATTCCACATCAAGATCATACTTTATAATAGAATAACCACCCACCCTTAGTCCAGAGCCAGAATTCCTCAGATTCTTCCAACCAGAAGGGCCCTGGCACGCTAGCCAGTCTGTTATGATATCTTAACACTTACGTGAGTGTATTTGGCCAGGGAGATTTGCTAGTGAAATTGGTCTTGACTTCTCTGGGTTTTTACAATTGTACTGAGTAATTAGAGAAAAATTAAAATCCAGATTCCCTGAAGTGTTGAATATCAGATCTGTAAACTGGTCAACGCTTAGGATCACAGTGTGTCAGAGTTAGAAGGGATCTTAAAACATCCTGAAGAAACTGGTAGAGGATTTGTGAATCTGTTTCCCCAAATCCCTGCCAAGTGATTGCTTAAATTTCAGCTCAGACACCTCCAGAGTGAGGAAGGTCACCACTTTAGGGGACACCCTGTTCTTTGAACAGCTGTGAGAAAGCTCTTTGTTGAGTTGAAATCTACCCTGGATCTTCATGTGCCAGCCTAAAGACACCCAGAACAAGCTTCCTCCCTCCCTCCCACATCCCAGCCCTTCATATACTCTATGTTGATCACATTGCCTGAAACCTTCTCTAGGTCAAGAATCCTTATTTCTTTCTACTGTTTGTTCCTCATAGGACAGGATTTCTAGCCCTCTCCCCTCTGTCTCCATCTTTCTCAATGCCTTGCAGTATAGTACCAGGAGGACACAGGATTCTGGGACAGCTCCTTTAAAAGTTCTAGAACCAAAGAGTATTAAAACTAGAAAGGCTGTCAAGACACAACCTAGTCTGCTCTCTTTTCAGTTTACAGATGGGGAAAGATTCTTGGATTTGAGTGGGAAGTTGATCAGCACACTCTTCTGAAGTGAGAAACAAAGTGTAAACATTTTGCCCAGTGAAAGTTGCTTAATTCTGATCGCAAGCTTCAGCCCACACCTCATTCTTGCAGAAGACCTCTCTGACTTCCTAAGAAAGCCTAAGGCTCAGCTCAGGGATTCACTGCTAGGTCTCCTTACATCAACTATTGGCTTCACTTACTGTGTGTGTGAAGGATAGAAAAAACTTTTCCATAAGTTTTATCATCTATATTGATGACATGGTCCAGCAGGGATTAAGGAATTTTAACAGACTTTCTTTTTTTCCTTCATAAAATCAGGGAATGGCTTTCACAAAGGGGAAGAGTATTGCTTCCCTTCAGAAATGCAGCTGCTGTGGTGGACAGTTTCCTGGGTTGCCCTTTGTACTTTCTTTGTTTACCGTCACCAGGTGACTAGATGGCTTTTCTAAAAACCAGAAGGCTGTGGATGGGATTGTGGGCCATTTTTCTCTAGTATTTTACGTTTTTAAACTTGAACCACAGGTCCCTGGCGTAGAAGCGCACTGCTTTTCAGCTGGCCCCAAGGCTCGGGTTTCCTTGGATGGGCGTAGCAATAAAGCAACCCAGGTGCTTGGGCGTGGGGCTCTGCTGCCGGCATCTCCACCGCCCCCACCTCCCTTTTCTCTGTCATTGACACCGCTCAGGTCTGTGGGTGGAGAAATCCTGGTGGGAGAAAGTACCGAGACTTGACATACCCGAGGGAGGGAGGGAGAAGGTAGAGTGTGCTTAGAGTTTATCTGATAACTCGGTCTTCGAGCATAGTCGAATTCCTTCAGACGCCAGGGAAGTGCCAGCTTTAAGGATGGAGTGTTCCTCGGCCGGGCATGGGCTCACTGGAGGTGATATTGGAGGGACTAGGGACAGTCTTTGGCGGCGGAGCTGGAGCCGAGGGGGATGCGGACGCCCCTACCAACTCCACACCCCACCCCCCAGCTGGCACGATCTTGCTGGCAGATGGGGCCCCGAGTGGCCCTTGCCGGAGCCGGCTGGCTGGGGGTAAGCGGGGGCAGCCCTTATGGGTTCTCTCACCCTTGGGCTGGGCTGGGAGCCTAGCGGGTTGGAGTCGGGCGGGGGCGCGGGGGACCTGGCCAGCGGCAGGGGGCGGGGCTCTCCTTTGTCAGGGGATTTGCGCGGCCAGCGGAGACTCGCGCTAGTGCCGCTCCCCTCCTCTCGCCCTCTCGGGGGGCGGTGCTTTCCCCTCTGTTCCCGAGGCCCGGTGGGCTTGGGCTTCGTGAGCCTAGCGGACGGCGCCCTGGGTTCCTCGATCCAAACCCTGCAAAAGCCCCTCCTTAGGTGCCTCGGCTTCCAATCCTCTCCGCCGGCCCCCCCTCTCGTCCCTCCGGTCGCTCATTTTCTCTGCCCCCGCCCAGGCCCCGCCTCTGCTCTCCTCCCCTTGGCTCTCTGCGTCGCGCGCTCCCCGGCCTCCAGGGGGGCTGCTCGGGCGGGGTGGCGCGGCGCGGCGGGGCGGGGGAAGGGGGAGGAGAGCCGCCCGCCAGCCGAGCAGTTCCACTGAGCGGGCGGGCGAGCGAGCGAGCGAGCGAGCGGGCGGGCGGGCGCGAAGGAGGAGGGCTCGCCCCCCGCCCGGCCGGAGCAGAGCCTTTTGTTCCCAGCCAGAAGTTTGCATGCCGGGACCGTGACAGCTGCGGGCGGGAGGACGGCGGGGGCGCGGGGCCGGTAGCGACGGTGGAGAATAGAGGCGGCTGCTTGACATGCAGCCCACGGCGCGGCGGCTGCGGACTGAGAGGAGGCGGCGCCCACAGCACACGGGTCTCAGCTGCCGGAGGGACAAACTAACTTCCTGAGCGCAGGACCTGAGGCCGGCGCGACCGGGAGCCACCTGCCAGCCTGCGGTGAGGTGACCCTGGCCCTCTGGGCGCGCGGCATGGTGCGGGGGAGCAGGCCGCGCTGAGCAAGCCCCGCCGACAAACCCTTGGCCGCTGCTGCAACCTGCCCGCCTTCTGGAAGGCCCGGCGCGAGCTTCACTTGGCTTTCTTTTGCGGCCACAGCGCAGGGCTGGCCTGGGAGCCACAACAATGCCATGATGTTTTGGAGACAGGAAGTCCCAAGCTGGCCCCGAATGAAGGACTTCCTGTGTTTAAAGTTGCAGGAATATCCGCCGACGAGCCCAGTTCAAATGCAAACACCCGAACTAGGGAGGACGAATGGCTAATTCAAACCAGCTGGACTCTCCAGGGCTGGAACTGAGGATAAAATGAAAGGAATTCTTAGGAGCTTGGGCCATACGTGAAGACTAGAGACGCCGTGCCATTGTTACCAAAGGACACAATCGGTATAAATTCGCTGCCTCCAATTCTGCTTCAGTGAGAAGTGAGTGGAACTAGATATTGAGTAAGACTTGTCAATATCAGATAATTCTTGCTGACTGAATTAGAAAGAACAGCTCTTTTTAAAAAAAAGCCATACAAGGAATTATTTTATGTTTGTTGATTAAATCATATCATTTATCTGCTTGCAACTATGAGGCCACTAGCCTATGTGGGAAAAGCTGGTGGGCTTAAAGCTTCTCCCAGAATGGTTTCAGAGTGGGACTTCCACACCTTTCTGGAGGGTAGATGCAATTGGTGGTTTGGAGTATAAACACGTAAAAGGATTTTTTAACTTACGCAGAATGCATTTTTGGAGAACTTGTGAAAAAACTTTTAAAAGATTGATGGTTCATCTTGACTGAAAAAGTATGGGTAAGCCACTCAGCAGGCCAGACTGTTTAAGGCAGAACCCCACCTGCCTGGGGAAAGGAGAGGAAGAGGATGGCTATATAGAGGATTGCTATGTCCCTCAGAGGTCTATATATGATACAATGAGGATAAATGAACAAATTGACCAAGGGTCAAAGCTTAATCAGACTTCAAAAAGCACCATGGAAAAGATGGAGGGAAGTACTCTATCCAGCAATGGTACGTTAGGAGCAGCATCTAATGTATTTGAGTCTCGAGCACCAGAAAGCAAAAAACTGGATGAGAGAATAATATTTGATGCACTGAAGCTAAGCAGCGATGTGCAGAAATCAGCACCTGTGCCACCCAGAAGGCGACCAAATGCAGAACGCAAAGATAATGTTAACAGGAGGTCTTGGAAGTCCTTCATGCCGCCCAACTTCCCAGAATTTGCAGAAAGGATGGAGGCTTCTCTCAGTGAGGTCTCAGAAGCTGGTGCTTCAGATCCTTCCTTGCAAGAGAAGAGAGAATCCAGTTCTGTATTAACAGAAAGTTCTGGTCATTTGGGCCACAGGGAACTTCAGTCAGAGTCAGTCACTCTGGAACATGTGTCCAAATCCGTAGGAATTCCAGAAGTGCCAAATGTGAAAAACTTAAGTGGAGACTGCCAGGACTTCAGGTTTCAGCTGCACAGTGAGAGCTCTCCCCATGAATTCCAGCCTCTGGAATCAGAGGCTGCAGGAGCAAGTGGTAACACAGATGTAATGCAGGAACACAGATTCTCAAGTGCAACCTGGCCCAGGACCATGAAAAGTTTGGCTAAGGGAGGCTTCAGCGAGAAGCAGCACCCCCTTGGGGACACAGCCTGCACAATGGAAATGGCACCTCTCTCCCCTTGCCTGAGTGAAGAGCTGTTGGATCCAGAATTGCATATTCTCATAACCCCCAGCCTAAGAGAGAAAACAGAGTCTGAGCTAAAGTTTGAGGAGGATGAGCGATGGATCATGATGGAGGCTGAGGAAGAGTGGGAGGAAGAGAAACTGTCAGAGAGAGGAAAGACTTTTTTAATGGCAGATGAGAAAAAGAACAGCCTGGCAGATATTTTTGAAGAAAGAGAACAAACACACTCTGTAGCTGTGGTGGAGGATGGAGCCGATTGCTTAGCTGCTGTCTTGACTTTTGACCACTCTGGTTGGATTCGTTGCTCTGATGACCCACAGCCAGCTAAAGACCATTTGGCTTCTGTTCCCAAGGATTCACTCTTTGGTTGCAGTTGTGCCCTCTCAGGTGAGGGTGCTGTACATGAGTTCGAAAACAGAACTGCTCAGGGGCTACAGGGTCTTGTTTCAGATTTAGAATGTATTGTTGGTCCTGTCGATGCAGAGCAGCTCTCTGATACAGATTCAGTGCAGATGTTTCTTGAACTTGAAAAGGAGTGTTTATGTGAAGAAGGAGTCATGCCTCTAGTTGAGCTGGAGAGTCAAGCCTCTTCTGAAGGGCTGGCCCCATTCCAGGATGCAGAAAATTCACATGTAATTAGTCATTTTCCAGAGGCTACCTTAGAAAAGAAGCAACATGTAGGCTTTTTAAACGTAAGGGTAAAGGACTATGATACTGGATTGGATTGTGAATATTTTAATGCCCTGGATTCTTCTCAGGTGCCTAACACTATAGAATTTATTACCCACCCTGATACCATGAGGAACACTTCCACTGTTAGCAAGGAGGAGTGTGAAAAAGTGCCTTTTAGCCCCCAGACTGCACTGGAATTTAAGTTCAGACACCCAGCTGATCTGGAGTCACTAGGAGAGATGGACCTAGAAAGATTATCAAACTTTGATCACAGGGCTTCTCTTGAAGAAAATTTATCAAGCTCTATTACTTCTGAGCTGGCCAAAGAAAATGGCAATTTGTCCCAGGTAGACTGCAGTCAAATTGAGGGGAATGTTGAGGAGTGTGTTGAGAGGGTCTCCGTCAGTTCTGCTTTTAACTATGAACTAACAGTTGTTACCTCAGAGCCTGAAGTAGAGGTGTTACCATATGGTTCACATTTACTAACAGATGAAATTCATTTGGAAGGTGAGCAAGGAACTATTAATCAAGAAAATAATAGCCTGACTTCCTCAGGAGATATGGACCCTTGCAAATTGTTGTCTATGGAGAAAGTTTGTGATGAAGATGGTGAGGCAAAAGAACTGGATTATGAAGCCAAGCTTTTGAAGGATCAAGCCCCAGCACATTTTCACAGAGACTTCCCAGATAAAGTTTCCCAAAGTCTTCAGAGGAAGTCCTCAGAGTCAGAGATTCTGAGTCTGTACCAGCTGGTTGGAGGACTAAGACACAGCAGAGATGGAATGGAAACTGTGAATGATATCAAGCCTAAGCCGAATGTGGCATCATCAGAGGGAGGTCAGATGGAAACGAGAGACTCAGATTCATTACTAGATACCTTTCAGGAGGATCGAGTTACCAAGGCTAATAATATCATACCAGTTTTGGAGAAATGGATAGCGATCCCACAGAGGCCTGCCCCAACTGCTGCAGTGCCTACCCCAGAGAACAGTGTCCCAGTTGTTGCAGTGCCTGCCCCAGAGGGACCTGCTGCCTCAGCTGCTGCAGTGTCTGCCCCAGAAGAGGCTACTGCAGGTGCTGCTATAGTGCCCACCCCAGAGGAGGCTGCTGCAGCTGCTATGGTGCCTGCTCCAGAGGAAGATGTTCCAGCTGCTGCAGTGGCCACCATAGAGGAGGATGTCCCAACTGCTGCAGTGGTCACCATAGCGGAGGATGTCCCAGCTGCTGCAGTGGCCACCATAGAGGAGGATGTCCCAGCTGCAATGGCCACCATAGAGGAGGATGTCCCAGCTGCTGCAGTGGTCACCATAGAGGAGGGTGTCCTGGCTGCAGTGGTCACCATAGCAGGGGATGCCCCAGCTGCTGCAGTGGTCACCATAGAGGA